CCAGTTCCTGCGCCTCCCCCCCCCCCCCCCCAGCCTCCCTCCTCCGGCCCTTTTCAACTAGATATCACGCAGCAGCAGCCTCCCCTTATTCCCTGAGCCAATCAAGCTCCTATCGTTCTGGCTTGTTTGGGTGTTGAGGTACGTGACTGTTACGGGGACCTGGGCTCGATAACCTCTCCCGGTTTTTGAAAACCCTTGAATCCCCGGCTCTGTGTCATTCGCTGCATAGAGAGTGCCGCTCCGCCAACCGATGCTCACTGTCGACCAGAGAGACACTGGTCAACTCTCTTCCACTCCCTTTATATAACTCTCCTTTTACCCCCTCCCACTCGAGATAGATCATATATCTCGTCTACCCTCCTTTCACTTTATCCCACCAATGTGATAACTGTTTCGCCTCGACTGCGTGTTGTGATGAATGCCATCCTTGACCGATTTATCCGCGTGCTTCGGTTCCCCACTCTCCACCCTCTGATCCGAGCTAGAGAACTCATTTCTACATCGTGCGCCTAGATTATATATAAAAAAAAACCCGCTCATTTCACCATTTCGCTTCCTTAAATACCCACAGCTACTGGTCACGACAATCCGCTTGTTGTCGGATAATCGTGGTCGATTGGCTGAAACTTCTTGGATCTCTTGTACATGTGTTCGACAACCCGATAGCTACCATGAAGGGTTTTAGGCAGAGAGTTGTAAGTCCTCAACCATCACCATCTCCCCTAGGAGCTATGCTCTTTGTCGGCAGTATACAGTTCCTCCGTCTTTGGACTTAATTTTTTTTTTATTATCCTTTTATTTTTATTTTTTTGTTGGAGTGCCAGGCGGACACGGCATTGATTGACCGCTCCAGCACGAACAGTTGTCCCGTGCAAAAGATTCAAACAAATCTTCCAAGAAGAAGGATTCGTCGTCCGGAACGCCCTCTCCAGGGCAAAACACACTCTCTAGTTCGTCAGGCCCCGGCCATTCCCCGGCGAACTCCAATCATGGCACACCTACATCGTCGACCACCACGGTAAACGATATTAAGGGGAAACCTGGAATGCAGGGGGAATCTGGCGGGGCTATTCATCATAATGCTCCAGGTCAGACGGCACCTCCCCAAAGCGCGCATCATTTTATTCCCCATGGTCAAAATATGGGAGGGGCACATACGGGTCAGATGCCCGGGAACGGTCCTGGAACACCCATTAGACAGCTACAGCCACTTGCACCAAGCGTAATCATTAGCCCCAGTGCACCGGTATGTTCGAAAAGCAATTTTGTTATATCCTAGCCAAGTGTCTTCACCTTCCGTATTTTCCTTACGCCTTTCTTGTGTTCTACGATGACGTGTATAACTGAATACTGACGTAAAGATATCAATTAGCACATCCCTCCACCTGGTGCTGCAGAAACTATGCCTGGCGATCTTCAGCCACCTAAAGCTGGCGCAAAATCCCACGTATTCGACCGATTACAAACAACACCCAAGGATGTTCCGGAGGGCATTAGGACGCCAAAACGGCAACACTCGTCGAGGTTTGATATATCGGACCAGCGCCAGAGAGAATTGGAAAAACTGCCGGGTTTTCATGAAGTTCCTCCGAACCGGCGCCAGGATTTGTTCATGCAAAAGATCGACCAGTGCAATATCATATTCGACTTCAATGACCCAACAGGCGATATGAAATCCAAAGAAATCAAGCGACTGGCCCTGCATGAACTATTAGACTACGTTGCCAACAACAGATCCGTCATCACTGACCCCATGTACCCGCGAGTGGTGGATATGTTTGCCAAAAACCTATTTCGTCCTATTCCCCCGCCAGTGAACCCACAAGGAGACGCGTTTGACCCAGAAGAGGATGAACCTGTTCTTGAGGGTGCGTGGGCTCATATTCAGGTGGTTTATGAATTTTTCTTGAGGTTCATCGAGAGCCAAGATTTCAATACCAACATAGCGAAAGCGTATATTGACCACCAGTTTGTTTTACAAGTATGTTTCGTTTTGTCTATTCCATTCCACCCTTCCGAAACTCAACTTCCCTTCCTCAACGATTGCTAACTCTCTGTGAAGTTACTGGAACTCTTTGATTCCGAAGACCCACGCGAACGAGACTTCCTCAAAACCACACTCCACCGTATCTACGGTAAATTCCTTAACCTACGCTCATACATTCGACGGTCGATCAACAATGTTTTCTTCCAGTTTATGTACGAGACGGAACGCTTTAATGGGGTAGCAGAGCTGCTCGAGATTCTTGGATCTATAATTAATGGCTTTGCCCTCCCCCTCAAGGAGGAGCACAAGCTCTTCTTAACGCGTGTTTTGATTCCCCTTCACAAGGTGAAGAGTCTAAGCATGTACCACCCTCAGTTGGCCTATTGCATAGTCCAGTTCTTAGAAAAGGATTCATCTCTTACTGAAGAGGTACTGATCCTTTACCCCCCTCCCCTGTTACCGTTCCTCATTTTGGCCACAATTAACGTCTGCCTAGGTTGTCCTTGGGCTGCTTCGGTACTGGCCCAAAGTAAATAGCACGAAAGAGGTCATGTTTTTGAATGAAGTCGAGGATATCTTCGAAGTCATGGACCCTGCGGAATTCGCAAAAGTCCAGGAACCTCTTTTTAACCAATTGGCAAAATCGGTTGCTAGCCCTCATTTCCAGGTGTGCTCCTTTTTCCTATTGCTCGTGATGAATTTACACTGTCCTCGTGTCGTTAACACATGTCTTCAGGTGGCCGAACGAGCATTATATTTTTGGAACAATGAATACTTCTGCAATCTTGTAACGGATAATGTAGAAACTATTCTCCCTATTATGTTTGCGCCCCTCTACGAAAATTCAAAAGGCCATTGGAACAGGTGAGACCTACCCACAACCAAAACCAATTTCACTCGCCCTTATACTTAACCCTCATCACAGAACTATCCATTCCATGGTTTATAACGCGATGAAGCTGTTTATGGAAATCAGTCCTCAATTATTCGACGACTGCTCCCATGACTATACAGAGCTTCAATCCACAGCAGAAGCCCGGGAGAAGAACCGCCAGAGCAAATGGGACAGGCTGCAGCAGCTAGCACAATCTAGACAGAGCACCGCAGGGACGTCTTCGCTGGCTAAGACATCCCCTTCTGAGGAACAAGGACAATCGTCTCACGTAGATGATATGGACACGGCTACACATGATAGCCAGCAGAGGCTTAATGCTCTGAAGCTGCAGGATGAGTCTAACGCGAATAAAGAGCGGAGGTTACGGGAACACGAGGGGCAGAATTCGGTTAGTGTTTTTGCGAGCTGATCGTTTTTTGATTTGTAATTTTCTTTTTTACTCTCCTATCCCACAGAAGAGTTTTTTGCAGAGTTGTCATTTTCGAATCAAGAATCCGATCCGATTACTTGTTTGTTATCTACTGTAGCTTTTCATGTTTTCTTTCTGATCCCAATGGTACCTATTTCCCATGCTCCATACCCTTTTTCTTGTCTTCCAGCCTTCCCCTCCATTCTCCAAATCCGCCATTCCGTGTCAATCAACTCCCAACTATGAAAAGAGAGTGTCACGTCTCATATAACCTTATTCTGCAGCTAGATGATTCTAACGTTGCTCTGAACGGTTGATTCAGAGGCGCCAGCATGGATCTTTCGATGAATCTCGTTCGTGGAGGGGTGGTGGAGGGTCTGGCAACAGTAGCGGCGAGGGGAAGAAAGCTTGCGGAGAGAGAGCGGAGAGACTTAGTTGGGTGGAAGTTGGTAGGGGGAGGAGACAGCAGGCCTGCTGCGGCAGCGACGCCTGCGGTGTCACGGAGCAATTCGATGAGTAATGTCTCGTGGGCTGTGTGATTCGGATATTTTCTCTTTCTTGATTCCCGTTCCTGCTTATTACTTTTTTTTTTTTTCCATTGCCATCCCCGTTTCGTTTTGTTGGCGCAACGCTACCTTTCTTCAGAAAACCTTGCAATGATGACAGGCATAACAGATTAGCCGCGTGATGCAAATGATGCTGGGATATTTTTGATTTTTGCCCTTTTTTTTCCGCCATTGATGATTTTTAAATTCCCATATTCTTGATACGGCGTTTATTATCTATTTTCTTATTTTCATCTCTTCCTTGCACTTTATTTTATTTTTTGTTTTGAGTTCTCTACGCGTTTGCTTCATCACTCACTTCGCAACATGTGACGGATGAAATCACCCTTGGTTTGGTTTTTGTGTACATGGAAATTTTGATCTCTGCTTCTCACAAACCCTTTTTCTTTCATCTCCTTACTGCTTTTATCGTTCTTCTGCTCCAGTCTATCTTACCTTAGTTGCAGCAGGATTTAAAGTTTTTGTTGTTACTTGCCTTTCTTTTTCACTTCCACTTCCACTTTCATTTCTTTATATAATTTTTTTCCCCTCAAGCTTGGAATTCTTTATTAGAACTTGCATGTCCGGGCAATAAGAGGACAAAAAAAATAACTTGGTGTGAAATGGAGTTTTCTTCCTCCTTTCATCTACGCTTGCTTGCTTTTTGCTCTTTTGGCCTAGTATCTAATATATCCAACAAGACCACTTCTTCCCTCTAATATATATTTTATTATATATCTATTGTTAACTACTTGTTCTAGCTTGTTCATTTCTTTTCGCAATAGCTATACACATCTCTGCCTGTGGAATTCTACAAACTGCAAGGCTAATTTTCCAAACTCTCCCTCTCAATTGTATTATTAACTATTGGGTGTTTGATGCCCTGCCTTCCAACTTGCTGAGTCAGCGTTCATTCACTGTCGCCCAATAAACGCCCGCCAACACGGGATTACATTTATCCAGCCGCGACTAGCGCCCTGTACCTTGTTTCACTAGTCCCCTTCTGGCTTAGTGAATTTCACGGGGTCAAGTGCCCTCCCCAGAACTTTTTGCTCGTCTGCATCACTTTCGTCTCTCCGCCCGCAACAAGCTCTCTATCTCCTTCACCACCACAACCTCCACCTCCCTCCTCCTCCGCTCCCTTCTCCACCAACATCACAATCTTTCCCTCCCTCCCCACCGTCATTTACGACTCACAATCTTCTAGCGCTACATAACCTCCAATTGACATTTGCGAACCATATCCCAATGACCCATTCGTTCTCCCGTGTGCCTACTTCCCCGCCGAATTAAAATACCAGCGTTTCTCTCCCCAACACGCAATAGCAACACATAAACACACGCGCTTTCATCCTCTCCGAATGCACCTTGTTCCGCCCTGGGAATCTTGGGGGTGATATAATACTGCTAAGCCGGCCGCAGGGCCTGGCGCTTCTATCCCTCTCCGTACAAGCTTAAATAAAGCTCTGCCTGCGTTGTGTTGATCGGCAACCATGGCGGGCTCACCCAGCGGAATCACGCCTATGGAGCGAAATATCGATGTCTATGCTACGAAGCTGGCGGATTTGGGGATCGGTGTGTACTATGCCTTTTCTTTTCTTTCGAACATTTGCGATGTCTCCGTATGGCATATGGGTCCCTCTGTCTTTGTCTGGCTGGCTGACTGGCTGGCTGGCTGGCTGCTGAATTGGTCCACTTCGCTCTGCTACATTACACTAACTGCCTTCTCCATTCATGCTAGAACCCAAGGTCAGATCGAATATCGCGATTGAGCTTCGCGACTCGCTAGAGCAGCTGTGTTCTGGCCCAAATTACCCCGTCTTCTTGTCAAAGCTGTGGCCGGTGTTCAAGAAGATACTCAAGGGCGAGCCTGTCTTTGTCAGTCTGTCCTTTGACCAGGTAAGGCTATATTCAGAACATACGAAGAGGGCAAAAAACAATATGTATATATGATATGCTTGGTATTCATTATTTGCTTTGTCTGTCGCTTGCTTTGCTCAGGCTGAAATTTCTCTCCGTTAAATCGATTAGAAATTGCGCAATTGTATTCTGGAGATCCTCCACCGCCTTCCTCTAGACCTCCCCGATGTCGAACCCTACGCTGGTGAAATGGTGGATCTCTTGTTGGAGCTTGTTCGAATCGAGAACGAGGATAACGCCGTCCTCTGTATGAAAACGATCATGGACCTGGAACGGCGACAGGCCAAAGCTACACAGACCAGAGTCAAGCCATTCCTGGAGCTTATTCAGGAGCTCTTTGAGATGATGGAGCAGGTTGTGCGAGATACCTTTGATAGTCCCGCTCTGGGTACTCCTCACATGCCATCAACACCCAGCAATACTGCACAGAACTTCCAGTCCCCGCGACCTAGCTCCCCCGCTACCTCAGTATCCGAACTTGGTCCTGACCAGCAGTCTAACCAGCAGCTTTTGAGAGGAATGCAGTCCTTCAAAGTCCTAGCGGAATGCCCCATTATCGTCGTTTCAATATTCCAAGCACATCGTAGCGTTGTTTCTGCTAGTGTTAAAATATTCGTGCCACTTATTAAGGGAATCCTGCTTCTGCAGGCCAGACCCCAGGAAAAGGCACATGCAGAGGCTGCGGCCCAGGGTAAGATTTTCACAGGCGTGTGTAAGGAGATAAAGAACAGAGCGGCCTTCGGTGAGTTTATCACTGCGCAGGTGAAGACGATGAGTTTTCTTGCCTATCTTCTTCGCATGTATGCGAATCAGTTGCAGGATTTCCTTCCGTCTCTTCCAGGTGTCGTTGTGCGGCTTTTACAAGATTGTCCGCGGGAGAAGTCTAGCTCGAGGAAAGAATTACTTGTTGCCATACGCCATATTATCAACTTTAATTACAGGAAGATCTTCCTGGACAAGATTGATGAGTTGCTGGATGAGCGGACGTTGATTGGTGATGGCCTTACTGTCTACGAGGCGATGCGACCTCTAGCATACAGCATGCTTGCAGATCTCATCCATCATGTTCGCGAGTCCCTCAATCGTGATCAGATTCGTCGGACAGTGCAGGTGTATACGAAGAACCTTCATGATGATTTTCCAGGGACCAGTTTTCAAACTATGAGTGCCAAACTGTTGTTGAATATGGCTGAGCGGATAGCAAAACTTCCAGACAAGCAGGATGCGAGGTATTTCCTGGTCATGATTCTTGATGCGATAGGGGATAAGTTCGCAGCTATGAACCACCAGTTTGACAATGCGGTGAAGATAACCCGCTCTACGAAGTCACAACCAGACAACGTTAAGGAATCGTATCTAGCTGACCCCATTAACCCGCCGGACTGGGATGAAATAGATATTTTCTCCGCAGCCCCGATAAAGACGTCAAACCCCCGAGAGCGCAATGGGGACCCAGTTGCAGATAATAAATTCTTATTTAGCAATCTTGTCAAGGGTCTTAAGAGTTTATTTTACACACTGAAGGTGTGTAATCCGGACCACATCAGCGTCGACCCATCTATTGTCCCACCTAATTGGCCTGAGGTTTCATTTGGGTATAAAGCGGAGGAGGTTGCTGTGATTAAAAAACTGTTTCATGAGGGAGCCAAGGTGTTCAAATATTACGGTATCGATCAGCCGGAACCTGAGGTGCAATACTCATCGCCCCTTGAGTTCCTTGCCAGCCAGTATATGCAACAGATGGGAAAGGAGGAGAAAGAACTTCTGGAAACCTTTGGCACGATTTTTCATTGCATCGACACGGCCACATTCCATGAAGTTTTCGATACGGAAATACCTTATCTGCATGAACTTATGTTTGAACATTCCTCGCTACTACACTTGCCTCAGTTTTTCTTAGCTAGTGAGGCGACATCTCCCGCCTTTGCAGGGATGGTACTTCAGTATCTCATGGATCGGATTCATGAGGTGGGGACATCAAATGTGTCCAAGTCAAGGATACTGCTGAGGATGTTCAAGCTATCTTTCATGGCCGTTACGCTCTTTTCCTCCCAGAACGAACAGGTCTTGCACCCCCATCTCACGAAAATTGTTACGAAATGCATTGAACTTTCCGTGACCGCCGAGGAACCGATGAATTATTTCCTCCTTCTCCGCTCTCTGTTCCGTAGTATCGGTGGAGGTCGATTTGAGCTTCTATACAAGGAAATCCTACCATTGCTTGAGATGCTCCTGGAGACCTTTAATAACCTCCTCCTGAGTGCCCGGAAACCCCAAGAACGCGACCTTTATGTCGAACTTACTTTGACTGTTCCGGCCCGTCTCAGCCATCTTCTCCCTCATCTAAGTCACCTCATGCGGCCCATGGTTGTTGCTCTTCGAGCTGGCTCCGAACTCGTCGCCCAGGGCCTCCGAACGCTCGAACTTTGCGTTGATAACTTGACTGCCGCCTATTTGGATCCTATCATGGCTCCCATCGTGGATGAACTCATGGCTGCTCTTTGGGATCATCTCCGTCCAAACCCGTATAGCCATTTCCATGCACACACCACTATGCGTATCCTTGGTAAATTAGGTGGCCGGAATCGGAAATTTCTCAACCACCCACCGGATTTGTCGTTTCAAGCGTATGCCGATGATATCCCCAGCATAGACATTAAACTTATCGGTGCAAATAAAGAACGCGCCTTCCCGCTCGATATTGGGGTTGATTTAGCGCTGGGGAAGTTGCTTGAAACACCAAGGACGCCCGCTGCCAAAGCTTCCGATGCCTTCTACAAACAACAGGCGTTCCATATGTTGAGTTCCCAGCTCAAGCTTTACATAGGCCTTGAGCATCCGCCGGAGGATCTGGCTACGCTGTTGCGGCTGCAAGCAAATGACTTGGCCGAAGGCAGACTGACCATTGGCCCGGATATCCTAGAGAAATCTGAACGAAGTGGCTCGATTCCGAAGAAGTCGGCCCAAGAAGAGCTATTGAAGAAGTTGCTGAAGGCATGTATTGTTGCGACAACAATTCCGGACCTGAAGCAGGCTGCAACTGCGTTCGTCGTGGACGTTTGCCGCCATTTCAC